AAGGAAGGAAGGAAGGAAGGAAGGAAGGAAGGAAGGAAGGAAGGAAGGAAGGAAGGAAGGAAGGAAGGAAGGAAGGAAGGAAGGAAGGAAGGAAGTTGGTTTACTACATGGCGATATTCTATAAATACAGAAACAAACAAGCAAATAAATGAGGAATGTCTCTGGCTTCCTGCTCTTCCCTACAGACTAAGGAGCAGCTCTGGAACCAGGAATTACCAGCTTCACTGTCATGTCCCAGAAAGAAAGGAGTTAGAGAACAAAGTTAGGATTAGGAAACAGGAATGCTCAGCCAGCAACCACAGTGATGGGAAACAGTACAGAGAGGAACAGGCAGCAGACGCTCAGATTCATGGCAGAAAAGCAGTTAGAACAGAAGCAGCAAGACAAACAGGCAGGTGAGGAAGGAACAAAGACTTAGACCAACAAGACCAGTCTTGTGAAGTCCAGGGAAATAAAATACAGGGAAATAAAATACAGGAGAATTGGTTTGGGGGTTGGGGAATACAAGCTGACATCAGGTTGGTGTCTGAGTGAGGGTGAAATTCAACTGAGCTTTTCAGCAGGAGCAAGAAATTTATCATATGAAATACTTTCCCACCTTCTACAGCTCTTAAGTCACTTATAAACAAGTTCCTGTTGGCTCAGGCTATGCCATTGTGAAACATTATGGCTCACAAGGAAGGTAGTGCTCAAAACAATTGCATTATTAAGAGATAGGTTACACTAGGAGTAAGTTGGGTGCGTGTTCTCAAGAAATACAAACACTGGGTCTGCAAGAACATAAAAGAGCAGTTAGGGAAGAGAAGCACATTCACTAACCTTCATATATGGTGATGATATGAGGGTGGTTGAGGGATGACATGATCTCAATCTCCCGTCTGATGTGAACCATATCTTGTTCATCCTTAATTTTGTCCTTACGAATGGATTTTATTGCAACCTATAAATTCAGGAAATCAAGTATTACTCTTGGAACTGAACAGATGCATATAATGCATTAAGGAGAGTTCAAAAAACAAATACAGATGTTAGATGTTGGCAGAATGCGGAATGACCAAAACAAGGCTTTAAAATACAAGCCTCAATGTCCCAGCTCCCTCATTTTAYAGTAATAAGTACATTCTCATTATAGTAAGGGGTGACACAAACTTTAAAGGTTTTGAGGTATTAGGGTTTCACTGAGAGGGAATGCAGGATTTCTGAAAAGGAACTCTACATTAGCCTAAATCTTCTTCAGCTGACGAAAATGGTAAAAATTCCAAAAGACTGATGGGAAGAGCATTTGATTAGACATGCTGACATCTGACAATATCAAATAAAAGCTTTGGAGGCAATTTCTCTGAGATACAGCTAAGTTCTCTGATGGAAAAGAGGCAGATGATCTCAGGTGATGATTACAAATTAATCATCACGGCCATGTTAATACAATGAGAACAGGTTGCTTAATAAGGTTGCTGCACTTCTCTCTAAAGCAGCCTCGGGAGTTACGATTTATTTAACAAACAGGGAAAAAAAAGATTCTTTGAAATTCACGTCTAAATTCGTCCTCAGATAAACCTCAGGCTTTCAGGTCCTGCCGAGCACTTATGCAATCACTGCAAAGCCATATCCTTCCTGCATCCTTCCTCAATCAGCAGCCTTTTAACAAGCACATCGTGTGACTGGGTATCTTTCCAAAAGGCAGGGTGGGAACAGAGGAAGTGATAGTTGAACTCGCAGTATAAAATGAAATTATAACAGCCCTTGCAAGTGTGTATGTGTGTGTTGACTGTGGGAAGAAAAAGAAAAAAGAAAAAAGAAAAAAGAAAAAAGAAAAAAGAAAAAAGAAAAAAGAAAAAAGAAAAAAGAAAAAAGAAAAAAGAAAAAAGAGAAAAGAAAAAAGAAAAAAGAAAAAAGAAAAAAGAAAAAAAAGAGCTTATCTGAAGAACCCCATAAGTAATTGCAGGGGTCAGATCATGCCCTACAAGAAATGCCCAGCCCAACAGTGGAGAGGAGCTAATGTGAGAGGCACCGCGTATTTGGAGTGGCAGCCCAGCCTACCCTGCAATAAATATTTACCCTCTTTTATTTGTGTAAGCCAGAGTTCAGGGAATAAATTACCAGCTAGTTTAAAATCAACAGTAAGCCTTTGAAAAACATCACTGACCTGCTGAGATGACCACTCTTTTATGGGTAAACAACACTTCTGTCATTCTATGCAGCCAACTACTGTGGACCTCTCCCGGGAAAACATTTGTAAATCTGTGATTTATGTGATTTCCCTGGTTCCTGCGCAAAAATAATTTCACTGCCTACTTCAGTAATTGCAAGTGGCATGACCGGTATTGTTTTCATTATATGCTGTAGCATCAAGGATATTGAAGAAAGAAGGGAAAAACTTACAATATTATAAAACTGAAATGTACATAAACAGAAGCTAGTTTAAAGGATCAGGTTTCCTACAAAGGCTTCAAGCCTGAAAAGCAACATTGTTCAGAAAAAGCATTAAGCACATGCCCAGTCCCCTTGAACTCCCAAATAGTTCAGCACATGCTTAAAATTAAGCACATGCTCAAGTACTACCCTGCTTTGAGACCCATGTAGACAACAGAACCAAAAAGCAGGGGGTAAGGGRCAAACATATTTGTATTTCAAAACYAAAACAATTCTTTTCTTCCTCTTGACCCAAACATTTGGTATTCAGATTTCAGAAATAACAACATAGCTTTGTTCTTATCTCCAGTGTACATACTTCTAGCAAAGGTAATAATAACAGATCTTAATTGAGCGAGTGATCAAGATAACCACCAAGCAGTTCTAGGGATGGATAAAGCAGCCAACAGTGCAGACAAAGTTGGATTTTTTCCCCCATCTCATGTTTGCTCTGGGACAGGCTGCGAATGCAAATAAACCTTGTATACAAGAAGGATGTGGGTGGCTCTTGGAGCGGCATGTGCATTCCTGCAAGAAGTAAATATAGACATGGGTATAAAAACACATTTTTTTATTAAAAGACAGCCTTGTACTTGGCTCTGAGGAAGAATTTAAGAAGGCTTTCATTGTCAAATATACAACGGGGAGCAAGTTCTTCTCCATTCATGGCTGGGAGYAATAATGGCATCCAGAAGGACATGCCAGTCTCCCACTAACTTGACGCRAGGCTTTACAGAGAGGACTTTTTTAAGTTTATGCATAATTATAGCAAATAGTGTCTCTGGAATAATTATATGAGTGAAAACTTTTTTTAGATAAAAAATGCAAACGTAATTCAAAGAGTGCCAGTGCAATAAATATTGCAATAAATGTTGCAATATATGTTTGAATGTATCTCCAAATGCAGATGTCTTGTCTGGGAATATGTGTTTCAAAAGGGCAGAGTTTCAAAAGTGATTAAGCCACCTATGAGTCTTAATTTATAAAGGCTATTTCTAAAAAATTAATTGAATTTTGAAAAAGGTACTTAAGCTCTCCTGAAAACGATWCTTCCCATCTTGAACTCCAAGACTTAAAATCTAGGAGTGGGATTTACCAACCTAGCTGAAGTACTTGGGATTTTGTTCATAGCATCCAAGGCCCAAGACTTCCCCTCATCATGAGAAGCAGAGATGTCAAATATGCCACTGTAGCTTAATATTCAAGGTGCTAACAGATGGTTGGACTTCTCTCCCTCAACTGCTTCAGATAGCGGCAACTGTTATTTAGAAACAAGGAGTAATCCTAGGGATCAAGTTGCCAATATGAGCTTTCTAGACCAAAGGAAGGCTCTAGACACTTGCACATAATAGTGTTTTATTCATGCATAGCACATTACCACACTCAAAGCTCAAAGTACAGTTATTTAAAACTTAGGAGGCAAGTGATGGAATAGCACCATTCACTTTTAGGAGATGAGGAAACTGAAACAGAAGGCCAATGCAACTCCTAAAGGAAACAGGGACAGCAGCATCTCAGAAAGAGTCATCTGCCTCTCCCTCCCAGACTCTTTTCGCTCTGCTCAGGAAATCAGAATTATTAGTGACTGGTTTCCAATTACCTTCCCCTGCTCAGCTGCTATTTTTCCCCTCAAAAAGAGCCTCAGGGAAGGGAAAGGTGCACCTCTGTGGCTCAGGCAGAACAAGAAGTCTTCCACTTACAGGTTCAAACACTGCTCGATAAACATTTTTAGCCTGCGACACCTGCCTGGTGACCTACCTGCTCCCCTGTCCTGCTTCCCAAGTGGACAGGTTCCCCATCCCAAGGACTACCAGTAGCAAACAGCCTTGCAGGCAACCTTACCCAAGGTAAGGTGATCAGTGAGTAGGCACTATGAGCAGACCTTTACTGGTACAGAGTGCATCCCAGAACAGGRTTAAGGGAGCAGCACCAGAGAGCACAGCAGCTCACACTGGCATTTGTCCCATCTCCTCTGTAAGAAAGATTTCTGCCCACCCTGTGCCTTTCGCCTGCATCTATCTATCCAGACAGCACAGACAGGGTTACATGCGCTTAGATCTATTGATTGGAAAGAATAATGCAAACACGTGTGCAGTCCAGTTTTGCTTTTARTATTTCACAAAAGCATTGCATGTGAGGGTTACCTTTTAGGTATTTATATATTTATATAYAAACAGATTTATTTTAGATATTTATTATATATTTTATTGTTCTCATCACGTTGAGCAAAACAGGGTCCCTGTCTGTTTGTTATGATACCAGCTTGTAAAAGAAGACTCTCTTCTAAATAGTAGTCTAAAAGATCAATAATAGAATTTCATCCATGAACTATATTTTACTCAGAAATATATTCTGGGAAAAATATGTCCAGCGTAGGCTTATGCTATTAAGAAGACAGCGTTAGCTCCATTTTTCAAAACCCAGCTCACAGGACTGCTGCCAGATATGGTGCATAAAGAACCTGAACAACGTAAGCCTATGAAGATATAACCTCAGTTGAGAAATACRTTGTGAAAGAACTTGTTTGTTCATTCTGCAGTTCCTGTTCTTGCTTGCTTGCTTGCTTGTTTCCCTTGCTTTCTCTGAAAGCAGCAGCCCCACTGTGTTCATCATGACAGTTTATTAAGTGTCACAGTTTATGAATCAGCAGTGGGGCAAATGAAATACACCTTTTTTTTTTTTATATTGGTTATATTAACTACACAAAATATTCTGTTCATGATCTGTGGAGAAAGTGCTCTTAGTAGCCTCAGTATTCTCAGAACACAGTACTTACACCTCTGTCACACTTTCTCCTTGCACTCTACTGGTTTTAAGATTTAGATCATTTAATTATAGTATTTTTACCAATAGGAATTTGTCTTTTTCCTCGCTTCTTGTCCTGATGAGAATTTCAGATAACTCCAAGGCCTCGCATTCAGACACTGTGACATATCGGATTTTTAATAATGTTAATAATGAAATCGAAAGCCTCTTACCCCAGCAAAACAGGTTCAAGTTCACCCACAGTCCCTACAGGCGAAGGATCCAATCTGGCAAAACACTTTAGCACATGCCAAACCTCACATATGCGAGCAGAGCCCTGGCTTTTGCGGGATAACTCACACACATCGTGAAGTTAAATATGTGCATAAGCATCAAGGTCACAGCTCAGAACTAAGCCACGYGGAGGTCCCTACGGGGATCGATACCCAACGATCCAATGGCCTTGATCTGGTCACTAGAGTTTACCRCGTACACGAACGCACTCAAGGACACGTACACAGTTTCCCAGTTAACACTAGGAGAGCCCTTGTGAGGTAGGTACATGGAAAGCAAAGGTATGGACAGACCATCTGCATTACGCCTTGAATGGGTCAGAATCGAACCACGTTTATCTGGTGGGCTAAGCCTATATACCCATATAGGGATCTGGGCTCCTATAGCCTTCTTTCTCCCATGAAGGAAAGAGGAGGAACTAGCATAAATCCTGCACACCTTTCAGAAGYTACACTCACTCCAAACATGAACAAAAACTTAAGCAAAGCC